CCTTTAATATAAAAGGACTTCACAATTCCCTTTTCGTTGACGTGTGATTGAACAAACTAAACGAAGCGTTTGTGATTATTTCACGTAGAACGTAAACAAATGATGATTAACATTTGACAAAGTCTGTAATTCGTAACTCATTAAAAACACTGGTGTCCATTTAAAGCTCTCACAGAATAATTAGGACTTCAGGTTTTACAGCCACGACAAAAGAAAGATGCAACGCCGTGTAATCTACCTGAAAGTTAATAATATTTTAACAAAACATACGTTCTTATTAATATCAAATGACACAGAGCTTTATCCATTTTAGTACCCAGAGAGGTGGGCGTTAGGACCCAGGAGAAGGTCCGGCTCTCCTCGCCGCACAGACACGCTCGGTACCGGCAGCCATCGCAGCTCCTGAAGTCGTACTGGTCCGACTGGGCCAGCGTCATGTTCACCTGCAGACCGATAAGCAACCATCAGGCACAGAGAGGTCGCTTGTTGCTCGCAGCTCGGCAGGGACGTCGAGCCGCAAAGCCATTTGTGGCTCCTCGCCTCATTCACTCTGGGGACGCCAGGGAGAGGGAGGGACTTATCGCCATGGAAACCGCCATCAGCCGACTCAACTCCGTGGACACAATGACTCTGCTCGCTCTCACGTGAGAACAGGGATCTAAACGCCGTTCATGGCGCGTCTGAAGGTCTGTTCCCTGGTTTTATCACAGCATTTAATCTAAAGAGCACACGGCTCCACCCATTCAGATCCCGCCTGCGTTTTACCATGATGCACTTGGAGAGGTAGTTGAAGACGGTGGCTTTGAGCGTGAACACCTCCCCCCGGATGACGGAGTAGGGCAAGGTGAGGCTGACGAAGAACGGCTGGAAGGCCGTCAGTTCGGCGTTGGGCGCCACGCCAAAGCCCGCGGGGGAGACGCAGAAAGCCCCGGCGGCCCATTTGGTGACGGTGTCGGGCACCGTCTTCTCCACATCTACCGAGCCGCCGTCCCTTTGGAGACACGTGAGGAAAAGGGGTCAAGTAGCATCGAAGATTCCCTTGAACTTATGTGAGGGGACACGAGGAAGTAGAGGCGCTACATGCTAACTGAGGTCTCGCAGTTAGCATGTACCCCCGCCCCCAAGGCGCCCCCTGCTTCATGGTCTGTTTGACTCTAAATGGACCATCATTCACTAAATGAACATCATGTTGTGTTGAAGAAGACTTGAAACTAGAGACTGAGACCATAAACTCATGTTTACAGTGTTTACTGAGGGAATAAATCAAGAGAGAAGTCATTTCCTCAGTCGCCCCCTGCTGGTCACTACAGAGAAGTAGAGTCATTTCCTCATAGACGTCTATGGGAGCAGAGGAGTCGCCCCCTGCTGGTCACTACAGAGAAGTAGAGTAATTTCCTCATAGACGTCTATGGGAGCAGAGGAGTCGCCCCCTGCTGGTCACTACAGAGAAGTAGAGTCATTTCCTCATAGACGTCTATGGGAGCAGAGGAGTCGCCCCCTGCTGGTCACTACAGAGAAGTAGAGTCATTTCCTCATAGACGTCTATGGGAGCAGAGGAGTCGCCCCCTGCTGGTCACTACAGAGAAGTAGAGTCATTTCCTCATAGACGTCTATGGGAGCAGAGGAGTCGCCCCCTGCTGGTCAGGAGAGAGAATGCAGCTTTACCTCATTACATTACGGGTCATTTAGCTTTTAACCAAACAAACCAGGGGTTGGGTGTCTTGCTCAGGGACACTTTGACATGGGGCAGCTGGTATTTGAACCGCCGACCTTGCGGTTCCCAGCGCAGCCTGTACTCTACTCCTGCGCCTCCATCGCCCCCGATGAACCGCTCACCCAACTGTTATTAATTACTGTTATTAAGAAGCGTGAGTGGTGGAAAGGAATTTGAATTCTCGGACCCGAACACGACTATTAAAAAAAGACGTTGGTGGATGATTAGAACGGTGCTGAACAACGAGCTGCTACCGATGAAAAACTTGATTACCCCACAGGAACCAGGTCCCAGATCCAAGTCTCAGGGAAGAAGGTCCTGACGGTCTCCTTCTTCCCCACCTCCTCCTTCCCCAACATCATGGCACCCTCGATATCTGGAGAGTTCTCTAGGGAACAAAAAAAACCACACAACCAGATTTAGACGAATCATCTCTCAGATCCAGGTGTCAGGGAAGCGCTAATGGTCTTTTGGGGCTTTCCAGCCTCAACTCTGACAACAAAGACGTCCTCAAACATCTCTGAGGAATCTTTAAGTTCACAGTAGATCATTTCCTGCTCAGCGGGGGACGGTAGAACGTACCCATGAGAAAGCTATAGTACATGAGCGTTGGGCGGCAGTCACGAGGCTTTTTCACATCGGAGTTGGTCACTATTTTGATCCCTGTTTTCTAGAAGAGAGAATAAGAATAAGAGAAAGCTAAGAAGGAGGATTTGTTCCCCACTGACAAACACAGAATGGAGCCAGATTAACGATGGTCTACTTTGAAGATGTTGTAGACATCGTTCGTCTGGTCGGACTCTCTCGGACTGGCCGTATCCACATAGTCCATCATCCCAGGTTCTGGTACCGACCAAGGGAGGCAGGGATACGGCTCCGAGTCTTCCACGTCGTTGGTGTATCCCGACAGCTTCTGTAACGGCAGCCGACTGTAGAGCTGCAGAGAGACACGTTCACATATAAATAATGGTCATTTATTATTATGATAATGTAGTCACAGTATTAACGATTAGGAATACCAATACTAGTTAGAAGTAGTAACACATCTTGTCTACACGTTACACTGTGAAAAATAAACCAATTCCTTCTCTTTGAGGAAATCGAGGCTTTTTTTTTTTACAATAATTGTTCAGACGCGTCGTCGACCCGGCGGCGTACCGACGCCACGGTGAGCTCCTGCTCGCGCTGCAGCAGCAGGACGCTGAGGTCCACGGCCCTGACGGAGCAGAGGGAGCCCGGATGAGCCTGCAGACGGAGCGTGGTCCTCCCTGCTGGAAGCTCCTGGAGGGATGAGAACTTCAGAGACACCTGAGGACACGGGACAGGTGGAGAGAGGAGGGTAAAATACTTTTACTGATGATATTTGCAGATCTTTGACACACTGGAGAATCAGATGTTTGATGATAGTGTGATAGCTTTACTTTTCTTTATTGGCTTAATGAGTTATCTTCTTTAGAATTCTTCAAATAATAATCATAATATTAATATTATTATGTTTAGAGCTGGTGTTAGGAAGTTGAAAGATCTAATTTCTAGATTTATTCATTACTAAAACGTTGAAGTGTGTTCCGTTACGCCGTCGATCAGAAGTATAGAAATACTTTTGTATTCATGGACGACATGGACTCATTGGGTGGTACCTTGTTATTGAGGCACAGCTGGACGGGGAAGTCGTGGCTGTCGGCCACGGCCTCGCCGCCGGGCATCACGGTGTAGACCACCACCTGGGCAAAGGGCGCCAGGCCGGTGACCTGACGGAGGGAGATGGAGAACTCCCCTTTGTTCACTGAAGCAGGAAACACGGAGAGGCAAAAAGAAGCGTGAGACACCATCTAAGATGTATACACAATACAAATAATACACTCAGTTTGTTTATTGCCAACAAATCTCAAAGTTGTTTGAGATTTGTATTTAAAAAGTGGGCATTTCCTCATAGACGTCTATGGGAGCAGAGGAGTCGCCCCCTGCTGGTCACTACAGAGAAGTAGAGTCATTTTCTCATAGACGTCTATGGGAGCAGAGGAGTCGCCCCCTGCTGGTCACTACAGAGAAGTAGAGTCATTTCCTCATAGACGTCTATGGGAGCAGAGGAGTCGCCCCCTGCTGGTCACTACAGAGAAGTAGAGTCATTTCCTCATAGACGTCTATGGGAGCAGAGGAGTCGCCCCCTGCTGGTCACTACAGAGAAGTAGAGTCATTTCCTCATAGACGTCTATGGGAGCAGAGGAGTCGCCCCCTGCTGGTCACTACAGAGAAGTAGAGTCATTTCCTCATAGACGTCTATGGGAGCAGAGGAGTCGCCCCCTGCTGGTCACTACAGAGAAGTAGAGTCATTTCCTCATAGACGTCTATGGGAGCAGAGGAGTCGCCCCCTGCTGGTCACTACAGAGAAGTAGAGTCATTTCCTCATAGACGTCTATGGGAGCAGAGGAGTCGCCCCCTGCTGGTCACTACAGAGAAGTAGAGTCATTTCCTCATAGACGTCTATGGGAGCAGAGGAGTCGCCCCCTGCTGGTCACTACAGAGAAGTAGAGTAATTTCCTCATAGACGTCTATGGGAGCAGAGGAGTCGCCCCCTGCTGGTCACTACAGAGAAGTAGAGTCATTTTCTCATAGACGTCTATGGGAGCAGAGGAGTCGCCCCCTGCTGGTCACTACAGAGAAGTAGAGTCATTTCCTCATAGACGTCTATGGGAGCAGAGGAGTCGCCCCCTGCTGGTCACTACAGAGAAGTAGAGTCATTTCCTCATAGACGTCTATGGGAGCAGGAGTCATTTTCTCATAGAGTTGAAAAGAAATGTTAAAATCTCATTTTACAATGACACATTAAAAAGGGATCCTGTGTCCTGTGGAGTTTTCTTGAAAACAAACTTAAAGTTAAGATCTTGGTCCTTGAAAGTGGTGACTGAAGTTTTTTGCTGAAAAAATGCTGACTTTGTTTATTGGATAGAATTCTTTTCATGAGTTCATCGACATTAACCAGTAATAAAGTTGACGATAGCTTGTACCAGTTCCTCCTTTAACAGCTACTGGGACTCGACCGGCCTGCACAATTCCACCTCTGGACATCACCTAAAACAATAAATGGAAAAAAACATAACAGAGGCAGATTAATCAAATATTTAAAGAGTTGAAATTAGTTAAAATAAAATCAAACATCGGGGTCAACTAAAAGCAGCAAGGTGATGCATTATGATACACTCCAGATGTGTGAATTAAGGGATTCTTTTATTGAGAACATCCCTCAACAACAAGAGGCTCACCAGGTAAAAGAAGTCGAGGACTTCCTGTTCCTCCTTGAGCTCCTTCCCCTGGATGATGTAGCGAGCGCGCACCTCCTGGTCCTGGTCACAGGCCAACGCTCCGCTCTCCTGCACCAGCTTCAAGAAGCTGCTGCTCCTGGAGTAAGAGGGCGCCACCTCCTGGTGGGCTGAGAGGTGCTCCCCCGGCCCGCCCTCACCGGCCGCGGTGCTCTCCTGCTTTCTGGAAGTCGCCTGTTGAGGCAACCACCCAAAAAAAAGAGGTCAAAAGGTCACATTGCACTCTTATGATTACCAACATTAACTGTTTGGTGGATAATTGATAAAACAAATTGAGTTGTTAACAGGAACCGAATTGACTCTTCCGAACAAAAACCACGACTAACCATCAGATTCATCCGGTCCGTCCAGAGCGCCGTGTCCAAAGAGAACGAAGCCACGCCCCTCGAGTCTGTGGTGAGCGCTAAGTTCAGGCTTCCGGGCAACAGGTAAACCGTCTCGTTGGCCACAGCTTTGCCGTTTGCATCGACCATTTTCACCTGTGAACAGGTGGGAAAGAAGAGGCCCAACATACCCGTGACTTTACAGCACTTCCAGGTGGACATAAAAACACTCAGACTTCAAAAAAGGCCTAAAGCTAAGAGTTCATTCCCTTGCCAGTAAATATTCATTCTCAATCTAATATTCAAAGTACGAGATATCTTGTGTGCAAAAGGTGGCACATGAGCTCATTTCTAAAGGCGTCGGCAAAAAACACAGATTCATCCTCTCTAAATATATCGTACCTTGGTACATCAATTCATTCTGGGCTTAAAAATACTTTTGGGGAGTCTCAGAAAGGAAACGCAATTTGTCCTGCAGAGAACGCTAAAAGAAAAGTTAGAAATACACCTCCAAACTTAAACGCTGCAAAACTCCTCCTCTGGGGTCCCCGAGCATCCGCACAGGTGTGCCATTGGTCATCAATGAGACGGATTACCTTTCCTTCCAATGGGATGCCGGTCTTGTAGGCCCCGGGTACTTCCATGAAGGTGACCTTTCGGATGACCCAGGTGAAGGTGCTCCGGCCTGTGCCCCTCAGAACGACCCCTAGATGAGAGAAGACATGATCACACGGACGATCGGGAACCAGCGCCGATTTCCCCAACGACCCGGTCGACCCTCTATCGACGTACCTGTGCCGAACTCCTGCAGCTCGGCGGTCACCTCGAAGGAGTTTGTATTGTACGCGCTCTTTTTGATAGAAAACTCCTTCATGACCACAGTTTGTGTGGCACAACCACTTTTGTCCGTCTAGGAGATAACGACACTAGTCAATTAAAACTACAATAAACATAACGGCCCTGAGTCACCGGTTTGGATGTGGAGAACTCACCGGCATTTCATACGTCGTGCAGATGTCAATTTCTTCGGTAATTGAATACCAGCGGAACTGGTGGCCGCGTTTACAAAAAACTGCCTTGACTGAACCGACAACAGGTTTCCCATAGGTGTATCTGCAGGGGAAAAGCACAAGGATAGTAAAAGAAGCTGTGATAATATAGATGTACATACGTGGGTCATTAAGATGACACCTTGAGTTACAACCATCGCCCAACCAGTAGGCAGGAAGTGTCCACGTATGGCTGAGGGATTGGATGGTTTATCCTGCTTCATGGTCTGTTTGACTCTAAATGGACCATAATGTACCAATTGAACATCATGCTGTGTTGAAGAAGACTTGAAACTAGAGACTGAGACCATAAACTCATGTTTACAATGTTTACTGAGGGAATAAATCAAGAGAGAAGTAGAGTCATTTTCTCATAGACGTCTATGGGAGCAAAGGAGTCGCCCCCTGCTGGTCACTACACAGAATGCAGCTAAAGCTTTAAATTCCCTAGGCGTTGACATTGTGACAGCTGAGTTGGAGGTTGAGAGCCACGTCAAGGCCATGAATATGGTCTCAATTTTGCAATTCATGCACTTTCACTAAAAGGAACATTACCATTTTTTTAGTACCTTAGGAAGGAGAATTAAAGGTTTCAGTTCTGACTTTTAATGGCCACTATTTTGAAGATCAATGTGAACCGCCTGTCAGGTCGAAGTGGGACACTCACTTTCCACAGATCCTCAGCGTCACCTCTTGGTCCAGGATGCTGATCACTCTGGGTAGATGCACCTTTACTTCATACTTTGGCAGAACTAAAAGCAAAGAAAACAGTCAAATATTATCACTGAAAATGTAGATAAATCAGAACCCACTTTTTGGTAAACTATCAACAGAACTGCTGCAGACCGTATTCCTTGATGTCAAATCTGTGGGAGATTTGCTCTCCTTGGTCCGTGGAGGCAGTGATGGTGTACCTTCCCCGAGCCGCCTCGGGGATCACCGGGTGGGAGAGATCAAGGATGCCGCCGGCGACCCTCTTATCCAACCACTGGGCTATGCGGTTTGAATTAGGATCCTACGTGAAGTCAGAGGTACAGCGATTATTATTGTGGTACTAGAACACCTTCCTTTGTAGTCTAACATGAAGTCATGTGACCGTGGTGGAGATCCTCTATAGTCTAACATGAAGTCATGTGACCGTCGTGGAGATCCTCTATAGTCTAACATGAAGTCATGTGACCGTGGTGGAGATCCTCTATAGTCTAACGTGAAGTCATGTGACCGTGGTGGAGATCCTCTATAGTCTAACGTGAAGTCATGTGACCGTGGTGGAGATCCTCTATGGTCTAACATGGAGTCATGTGACCGTGGTGGAGATCCTCTATGGTCTAACATGGAGTCATGTGACCGTGGTGGAGATCCTCTATAGTCTAACATGAAGTCATGTGACCGTGGTGGAGATGCTCTAGAGTCTAAAGTTGACTTTTTACTGTACTCTTAAATCATCACAGTGAAGGTATCTAAAGGAACTAAAACGTGGAAGGATCATACACGTATTTTTGTCACGGACATTATTTTCTGTAATAATCGAGGGAGGAGTCTCATTGGCTGTTTGTGGCGGGAACCAGTTGTGACGACTTCCTGTTGAACTACAGAAGTCTGGTTTAATACAGAAAGCACCTGAGCCGGTTTCTCATGCAATAACTTTTGGTCAATCTTACCTGGAGCTCCACAACGTTGTACTGAAAGAGAAAAAGAAAACAATGATATAAAAGTTAATAAGTGTTACACGTCATTTATCTGACGCTTTTATCCAAAGCGACTTTCAATAAGTGGAATTCAACCATAAGGGAACAAACTCAGAATAAAGAAAGTGCAATTTAATTAAATAAGCAGATGTACAACTCGCTGTAGATAAGAACCATTATAAGTCCAATGTAAGTGCTGCAGTTAGTTAGTGTGTTAGTGGAGGTAGAGTCTGAAGAGGTGTGTCTTTAGTCTGGAGATGTGAAGGCTCTCTGTGGTCCTGATGTCTTCACAGACCTCCTTCCACCATTTAGGAGCAGGACAGCAGAGAGGATATGGACTACACAGCAGTATGATAGTAATGAACCTAAAATAAACTAGTTACTAGTTTAAGTCAAGAGCGCAACGTTTGAAGTGCAGAGAACATAAACGTACAAACCGCTAAAATATTTTCATTTTGGACCCGCTGGTCACGAGCAGTCCATCAGAGCTCCCCGTTCCTATGCGACCTTAAAAACAATCATGATCACGGCCGAATCTCAATACGTCAACGCGTTCTATGGCTTTCTGCGTCGCCCGTTTCTGGGAGGACCGGACGTCACGCTGATCGACAGGCGTGCGGCGTCTCTGCGTCCTGGGGGGGGACACTTCCTGTGGCGCAAAGTAAAACAAATGGGTCTTAATTTGCTGCCTCGTTCAAAAGGAAAACCCGAGCTGACGCTCGACTTCATGCCGAATGCTCCAGCTTCACGGTCCCCTCCCCCCGTACGTTCAATTCGCCCGTCTCAGCCAGATGTTTGGGTCAGACGCGGTGTTCCAAAGGGGCTGACAGCGTGTTTATCACAGCGCGCCACACTGCGCCGCACGCCCACGCCGTCCCCGTCCCCGTCCCCCCCCCCCATCAACGAGCAGACCTCCTTCCCTCCGCCCACGCTCCTCCACCGAAATAGACCTCCGCGCGGCAGAGATCACAGCAGACCGCCGAGGAATTACGCCGCACGTCATCATCATCATTTTGAGGGGCAACAAACACAAAAGTAAATGAATAAATGAATGAATGAAACTCACTACTCGATCCACAGGGACGAAGTAAACGTCCATGGAGACGATGCGGAACTGGACTGAAGAAAAGACGGAAAAACAGACATTCAGCAAATCTACTGGATACAAAAAAAACACACATTGTGGAAACACAATAAATCGGTTCAAAATCCATCTGTTCTCACGATATGAGAAATCAATCAAACAAACAAAGAGCTGTACATACAAAGGTGAGGCGCTTATAGAGCTCATATTGAATTAGATCCTACATTACGGGGGGGGGGGGCAGACGGGCTTTCTGTGAAAAATCCAGAGAAGGAGCCAAACCCCCCCCGATGACATCGCCGACGAGACGCCGCTGCACGGGCGGGATTGAGTGACGCCGTCCGGCAGGTTCAGGTTTCTCACTTTTTGGAGCTCGACCTCCGAAATGTGAGTCAGGAAACAAGCGTCTACAATCAGTTACGTTCACTTAGAATAAACTGCATGAAGGGAAGAAACACTGAAGCTCGTTGTTTGTCGCCTTTTGCTTCTCAGGTCTCTGAAGTCGTGGAGAATTGAACCTGATGTTTGGATCCATTGACCGATTTAAGATCTTAAGGACTTACGCAGCGTCGACCAGCTTTACGTTGGGATTTGATGGATTTATTTCTGACTGAAGTTTACGGGAAGCAGCGTGCCGACGGGGGCCGTAGTCATGGCGACCAGTTATTAGGCACAGCAGCGCATTAACCAGTGCACTGCTCACTGATCGGTCGGGAGCCTCACCGGTCTGACCCGGTTTGTAGACGGGCTTGTCGGTCTGGATCAGGTGGATGAAGGCCGGGCGCTCGATGCGGATCTTGGTCTTTTTGCTGATGGAGGCGTCCCCCCGCTGGACGGTGACGTGGATCGTCGCCACGGTCCTGGAGCGCACGGCAGGAACCTGCAGACAGGGTCAGGGTGTGTGTGTGTGTGTGGGGGGGGGGGGGGGGGGCGACGGTTACCATGGGAACCAGTAAAGACCTCGCCACCCACAGAGCCCAATGCATGCTGGGTCACACCTGGAAGCTGAGGCAGCGATAGAAGTCCCCGGTGACGTCCTCCTCCAGGAGGACGGTCCAGCTGGAGTCCGCCTCCAAGGCGACGGTGAGGTTGACGGGCTCCGGGGGCCCGTGGACCTGAGCGCACAGGGTCTCCGGTTCGCCCCCCCTCACCAGGGAGCTCGCCGTCACCAAGAAGATGCTGCAGGTAGAGACGGAAAAAAGAAGGAATCGTACACGAGAGGAAACATGGCGTCAACTTTCCAAATAACTTTAGCGAGCGGATATGGAGCGTTTGGTTGGGTCGTTGAGGGTCAAACAGCTAGCCATGCTGCTAACGTAGCGGCTAGGTGGCTCATGCTAATGGGCCAGACTCTCCTCGTGATTGGCTGGGGGGTTCAGGAACAAGTACTTTCACCACTAAGAAGTAGTTTCTCTACTAAAAGGTCAAATAATCAGCATTGGAAAATAATACATTTAATCCAATTTAATGGGAACGTGGTGCAAAAAACACACTAAACACACACTAAACACACAAAACAAAGGTCAGAATCAATGTGCAGACACACAGAGACAGACGGACAGAGACACACAGACACACACACACACACAGAGACAGACAGACGGACAGAGACACATAGAGACAGACACACAGAGACACACAGAGACAGACACACAGAGACAGACGGACGGACAGAGACACATAGAGACAGACACACAGAGACAGACACACAGAGACAGACACACAGAGACAGACAGACGGACAGAGACACCACTTCAGAGAAGTTAGTCCGGATAAGAATCTGCAGATTGCATAACTTGGTCTTAAGGACAAACTGGAACACACAACGTTTTACTTCATCGCGCGCAGCTGCGTCTTACGCAACAGCAAAACCGCTGGCACGCGCGTGCGCGCGCGTCCTCCGTCACAGAAAACTTTTCACGTTGCAGAAAAACACGAGATGCTTTTGTTGCTTAAAGAAAACCTTTTGTGTTGTTTCTTCTACTCACGTGTCGTTGAGTGGCGTCGCTCGCGCAGTTTGCAGGGACGCGAGCACGAGCACGAGCACGAGCGTCCGCAGGACAGGTGCCATGGTGTGTGCGGGGTTCAGTCTGTGCGTGTTGCTCTGTGCCTGCAGCCGTGACGAGTTGCTCCAAACCGAGGGGGTCGGTGGTTTTATACCCTACACACGCACACGCACACGCACGCCGGACCGTTGCCCCTTTGGAACCTCCTCCTGCTCCCACACCACAGTGAGTCCTTGGTCCTCTGCAGGAGTCCGCTCGGGGGAGGAGAACGTGAGGAGAGCGGATGACCACACATACCTGACTGAGAGCACGGAATGTACAAATAAGAACCAATACAAACACCAGCGTGTTCTATACCAGGAGGTCAAAGGTCCTCCTGGTATAGAACCACGAGGTCAAAGGTCCTCCTGGTATAGAACCAGGAGGTCAAAGGTCCTCCTGGTATAGAACCAGGAGGTCAAAGGTCCTCCTGGTATAGAACCAGGAGGACCTTTGGTCGCACCAAACGTTTGCAGAAAAATCGGCGCGTTTTCAACTTTCCGAACGAATGCAGCGCTGAAGGCCGAAAGCAGCCGTGCCGTCTCCGGCTTCCACCGGCACGCCACACCGCTATGAACTGTGGGTAATTCCCTTCGGTGAGGTCTGCAGAAACGCAGACTTTAAGTGTTGAGGAAACGCTGCGGCGAAATGAACCAATAGAGCAAAAACGCACGAGAAGAACCTCAGCACCATCACAGTTAAGACACGTCCCTCCGTGCACAGATCTTCACCTCAGGCTCTACGTTCTGATGAAGAGGGGCCCACGTGCAGGACTCTGGGACGCCATCTGAAGTCCACGCGTCTTGGATTGGCGGAAAGAAGAACGTTTAGTTGATTGAATCTAATACAGGGGACTTTTCACACGCTGGAGTGCGGCTGTAGTCGGTCTGACGTGAGACGGAGACGTTTTCGTTCTCCCAGGTGTCCCAGGTGTCCCCCCCCCCCCCTCACTGGAGTTGACACGCTGACGTCTTTTCTGTTATTTCCTTTGATCTTTTTGTCTCCTCTCTCCTTTGATCTTTAACGCTGTGAAAATCAATCAAAGATGGTTCACAATGGGAACGCCGATCATACCGAGAGGGGGGGGTAGTACTAGGTAGGGTGGGTGGGTAGTACTACGTAGTACTACGTAGTACTCAAGAGTCAAGATTGCAACTTTATGTGTTGTGTCTTCAGTGCCGAGCAAATCACCTCTGGAACAGCTTTTATTCCTGCACGGGTAAATGTTTGAATGTTTCAACGTTCTCTCTTTATTCTGTTTGCTTTAATACGTCTTCTCCTCTGGGACGTGAAGAAATCCACCAAAACGGGAGAGAGAACTTCTTTTCACACGGAAATGAATCCTAATCTCAGTTTTGAATGCAGAAATCTTTCTTTCAGCTCTGAACAGTGAAGCTGATGAGTTAAAGCTGCATTCTGTGTAGTGACCAGCAGGGGGCGACTCCTCTGCTCCCATAGACGTCTATGAGGAAATGACTCTACTTCTCTGTAGTGACCAGCAGGGGGCGACTCCTCTGCTCCCATAGACGTCTATGAGGAAATGACTCTACTTCTCTGTAGTGACCAGCAGGGGGCGACTCCTCTGCTCCCATAGACGTCTATGAGGAAATGACTCTACTTCTCTGTAGTGACCAGCAGGGGGCGACTCCTCTGCTCCCATAGACGTCTATGAGGAAATGACTCTACTTCTCTGTAGTGACCAGCAGGGGGCGACTCCTCTGCTCCCATAGACGTCTATGAGGAAATGACTCTACTTCTCTGTAGTGACCAGCAGGGGGCGACTCCTCTGCTCCCATAGACGTCTATGAGGAAATGACTCTACTTCTCTGTAGTGACCAGCAGGGGGCGACTCCTCTGCTCCCATAGACGTCTATGAGGAAATGACTCTACTTCTCTCTTGATTTATTCCCTCAGTAAACATTGTAAACATGAGTTTATGGTCTCAGTCTCTAGTTTCAAGTCTTCTTCGATACAGCATGATGTTCATTTAGTGACTGATGGTCCATTTAGAGTCACACAGACCATAAAGCAGGGGACGCTTTAGGGCGGGGCTACGCGCTGATGGACAGGTCTCTACTGGAGGTGTCTTTACATAGACAGGTAAAATGCAGAGCTCAAGGCTTCATGACATCAATCCCTAAACCAACGAGTGATGTCACCATGACTGCGTCACTTTCACACACAGCGTGTGGTGGAACAACAGGCGCTTGGTTTTGGTTTTGGATGAAACTTTAAACGAGGGCCTCTCATAAAAGCACACGCAAAACGCCACATGAAGCACAAGTACCTGAAACAACGCAAATAAACAACATTTTCACCTGCTGCGTGTGTGCATGTGTGTGTGTGTGTGTGTGCGTGTGTGTATGTGTGTGCGTGCATGTGCGTACGCGTGTATGTGTATTTGTGTACGTGTGCATGTGTATTTGTGTGTGTGTGCATGTGTGTGCATGTGCGTACGTGTGTATGTGTATTTGTGTACGTGTGCATGTGTATTTGTGTGCGTGTGTATTTGTGTATGGGGTCGTCGTCCCAGGGGTAGAGAGGGTACACTGGGGAAAGGTTGGTTTCACAAGGTTGGCGGTTCAAGCCCCGGCTGCCAAATGTCAAAGTGTCCCTGAGCAAGACCCCTGACCCCTCATTGCTCGCAAGATGTAAAAAGCCACGGGTTACAAATGTAAAGTGAGTGGCTTTTTGGATAAAAGCTAAATGACCTGTAATGTAAAGTGTGTGAATGTGTGTGTGTGTGAATGTGTGTGTGCGTGTGTGTGTGTGTGTGTGTGTGTGTGTGCACAGCAGGGGCAGCACACATTCTCTTTCATGTCTCCTCTTCCAGGGAGGGGCTCATTAATTCTGGCTGACTTCATCTCGGGCTGATGAATTCTTCATTGATACGATATGCCCCCCCCCCCCCCCATCGATACGTCTGGTAAAAAGTTCAATTAGCCGGCGCTTGATGATCTCAACGAGATGATCTTTTACAGCTAAAAGCTCCCCGCGCTCGGGTTGGGTTGCCCCCCCCCCCCCCCCCCCCGACGCCCAGCGAAGGAACAAGCAGCAGCGGATAACAAAGGAAGCCGGGCGCCTCGTGGGGGGATTCGGATGTTCAAAGCGGCGTCTTACGCCTCTGGGCCGCGCGGCGCCTCTCGGGTCGCACAATGGAGCGCGTTGTTTAACGAGCCGTTACTGGAATCCACACCGCTACCAAGATCAGGGACACAAACACCGTCTGAGACGCTGGTGATTCCCGTATTGGTATTAGACGAGCGGCGTGTTTGTGCGCGTGCGCGGGGCCGCGTGGGGCTCCGGCTGGTGGATAAACACAGCGGCTTTGCTTCCCTCTGTTCTCCGTCTCGGCGCCGCGTGGTTCTGTTAAGCAGCGCCTTGCCGTGCGCCGGGAGTCCCACGGGTGCTGGGAACACCGGCTTTAGCTCGCTTTGTGTGACTTAAGATCTGACGGGAAGCTCTGCCTCTGCTGCTCCGAGGGGGGGCCGGAGATTTGGAAACAAAAGAACTCTCCGGTTGGATTCTGATGACGCGTTTGTTTGGATTTGAAGCCAATTTTCTAAAGCAAATACCAATTTATCATGATGCATTGTTAACAAGTGTGAAGATTGACGGCCATCAGCATGCTAACATTAGCACTCTAACATTAGCATGCTATTAAGGACGCCATGCTAATGGTCTGCAAATGCTAACATCAGCGTGACAACATGCTCATAGTAGCAATGTCATCGTGCTGATTTTTAGCAAAAGTTGCACTAAGCGTTATATTTTCCAACCCTACGGTAAATTGCACGCGCACACATTTGCTTGTTCCTGATTGGCTGGTTCGTCTGATGACGACATATGAAGGACAGCGGCCAGTGAGGCAGACGAACGTCTTCACACCAACCACATGTCTGGTTGAACAACATCTGCCCTGAATGTTTCTCCTCCGGTGCTTTGGACTGTGACGTGTTCCCTACATGTCTTTTATTCTGAAGGGCTGAGGGAGCCCTGTTCTTTCTGCTGATGACAGCAGGTTGTTCCTCGAGTCTGCACAACGTTGTGGGCCCTTGTTATGTGTGGAATCGCCGCTCTGGACCCCCCCCCCCCCCCTCACGGCGTGAATAAATAATGGAATGAATGAATCTCCCGGGTTCCCTCACACACACCCAGCAGACCTCAGTCCGGGTTTCCATCTCACCTGCATTCAGCTGAAGACCCCCCCCCCCCCCTTCCATGGCCTCCTCCTCCAGCCCCCACAGGGCCCCGGGTGGAGGTGCAGAGGGGGGCGGTGTTTAAACTACAGTAAAGCTCAGCTCCCAGATCAAAGGCAGCGAATTACCAACAGGCTGCTGTAATGAGAGCGGAGACGGAGTAGATATTCAGTGGGGCCCCCCCCCCCACCCCCCCCACCCCCTTCTATGGCCCCCCTCACACCCAGGTCAAGGAGAGACACCAGTAATCTAGTATTGTGGGCTGCTCAGGGTGTGAGAGACTATTTTAGAACGCCCCCCCCCCCCAGTACAGGACCCTGTGTGTGTGTGTGTGTGTGTGTGTGTGTGTGTGTGTGTGTGTGTGAAGGTCGGCTGGGATTTGAGTGTGTTTTTACCCTGATGGTGGAGGTGGAGACGCAGACAGGAAGTGCTGAAGAGGAACCGGTTCGGAGGGAATCGACCTGCCGGCTAAACTGGATCATTCACTCCGTGAAAAGAGCTCGTTTACGTGGGATTTAATTAGTGCAGTCGGGAGTCAACGGGTTCCTTTTATTTTGAATTTGGTGGCAGTAAAGAGAGAGAACTTTCTGCTCAATAAATACACAAAAAACCAGGAGCCAAATGCTGTTGATGCTTTGATATCCCATATATACATATATATATACATATATACATATATATATGTATATATGTGTATATATATGTGTATATATACAAACATATATATGTATATATATGTGTATATATATATAAACACATATATATATATATATATATATATATATATATATACGAAGAAGAGTTCAACTATATATCTATATCGCGTTGAACTCTTCTTCGTTGGTGTTTGGTCATTTGGCGTTGATCCGACTTTCTGATATAAAAAACCGAAAATCACTGTGTGTGTGTGTGTGTGCGTGTGTGTGTGTGTGTGTGTGTGTGTGTGTGTGTGTGTGTGTGCAGGGGGGAATTACACAGTCATTCATATAACCCCCCCGCGCGGATGAGAGGACCCCCCCATGTTCTCCTCAGGGGACACTTATTAAAACAATACACCAGCCGTCATTCAAACGCGCCGGCACACTTTGAAGCCCCCCCCCCCCCCCTCGCCACTTCTTTTCTGGCGCGGTATTTCCACGAAAACGCCGGGGATTCTGCATCCCCTCCCCGCCGATTTGTTCAACACAAACACGCCACGCGCTCGACAGGGAAACAAAACAGCACATTCAGGGCGCGCGTCGCGCCCGGTGGGCGGGTGCCCCTCACGGGGGATTTGACCGCTATAAATGATGCTGTATACCGCTACCACGGGCGCGGCGCTCAGCTCTATTGAAGGGAGGTCCTCCCTTTCCAGGTTCCCCCTCTCGATGGGCGGGGGGGGGGGGGGGTACAGTACGGACGGACACACAGCAGGGAATCGTTTTCTGCCGCAATACAGGAGAGAAAAGGAACCAGCGGAGGAGCCGGTCGTTGGTTCCCTGTGAGTCCACATGGTGTGAGTCCACGTCCCTGACATGTGCCCGGTGCTCATGTGTGTATTTAACATGTACGCACTGTTACCGCTGCAGTATTAACCGTGTTTTCTATTTCATTACTGTTGAATCTTAATATGTTCAGCTGTTGCACAGAGAATGTGTGAAGAAAAGTGTGTTATTGACATTCATTCATGCTGGTGGTTTATCTATGAGCTGGATCCACGTAGACTTCTTTGCGTCATTGTTGATTCACGGGAAACAGTGGGAGTCAACGGGCACTGAGATTTCTGGGGGCTTGTTGGAGGTTATGAGATAAAATACATAATTCTTGCATTGGCTTTGCTTCATTGTTGAACACAATCTGTGGGCTCTGCTGTAAAGTATAAAGTGCAGGTCAATGGTAACCGGGGTTGTACATTCATACCGATGGTATTAGTTTATTTTTTGAAATTGTAAAAGGCCGAATAAAATCAGTGTACTATAATTTCAAATACAATTAATTTTTAATTTCCTTATTCTTGAATCTTCAAGTTTTCATCTGTAGCTTAAAAACTTGTGTGGCTGAAAGTGTGTTATTGACATACATTGGAGTTTGTGTTTAATAGATGATTAATAGAGCAATATATTCTTACACAGCACTACAATTCTTCCCCGTTGACCTCTGATGAGCACCGATGCATCATGGATGTAACACAAATATCATGGCAGACGCTGTCAACACATTAAATTAAATAACTGCGTTATCATTTAAAATACAAATGTTTAATTTCCTCACTATTATTCTGACTTTGTGCTGAAGACGTTGCAGGAAAACGTGTCGTGAACAAGAAATCTGGTGATTTGTTGGAGGTTGAAATACAAAAGTCTTGCAAGAGGGTTGCACGACTAATCGGGAGCATCGTGCATAATGTGCCAAAAGAAGCTGCACTGTCTGCAGAAATAGGAAGGCGAACGCTATAAACAATGAGGGGGGAGGGGGAGGGAGGGGGGGGGGGGACTGGCTACAGGGTTGCCAAAACATGTCTTTTTTTCTAGGGGTGAGCCAGTGTTGCCTATCGCTATGGCAACAAGAAGACCTGGCTGCTTCAGTCGGCTTTTGGTTTGCCGGGGAGGCGTGAGGGAGAGGAGCTCCGTGCAGTCGTCCCGGGGTTACTGATGAGCCCCCCCCCCCCCCCCACTAAACACACACACACACACACACACACGCACACGCACACACACACTCCACCTGTCACACCGCAGAGGTCACATTCAATAAAACACTGATTCAACCACAATAAATCTCATCACAGATCATCAGACACGTCTTAAGAGTGTGTGTGTGTGTGTGTGTGTGTGTGTGTGTGTGTGTGTGTGTGTGTGTAGGTGTCTGTGTGTGTGAGACAGAAACTTCATGCAGCCATAACACACACACACATTTCAGTAACTAGTTTCAGCTCAAATATCCTAAAAAACCTCCTCACACAATTAAACTAAATTGTCAATCATGTTTTTAGAGAAATGTTTAAAGAAAAACAAAAAACACAAAACTAATTTGTTTGCTTCAGTGAAATAAACACCAGGGTTTAAAAATACAAACAAAGACTTTTTCATTCACACGAGACGTGAAAATGAAGAAATGAATTTCTCTGGAATTGTACTTTTATTACGTAACATCACTTTAAGTTATTGCATACGAACACGTAATGAATGTTTAACTATTGTAGAGTTTCTAATTGATTAAATGTTTATAGTGCTTCATTATTTAAAATAAAGCTCCTTAGACTTTATGGATGCGATAAAATAACAACACGGTCAATTTGCAAAACCATAAAAACCAAATGGTGATACATTGTGATGCCTGATGGAGGCTTTGTGTGTCTGTCTGTGTGCGTGCAAGTGTGTGAGTGTGTGTGTGAGCTTTTCTTCCATCAACTCATCAGATATCAAAGTTTCAGGATAAACAGGAGAAAAGGTGGAAATATGGATTTAAATCGTTTATTTCAACTATATAAATATAGACTAAATATAGACGGTTTCATCATTACGCCTCATAAGATGTGATCACGTTTAAAGTGCTCTTTGTAACTGTGTGTGTGTGTCGTTTGTTGACATGAACACAAGTTCAGGTCTGCAGGAAACACAATCACACCCAGTGAGTGATGTGTAGTTGTACGTATCCGAGCAGGTGCGTGTAGATACGTGGCGTGCAGCGTTGTAACCAGACAACGAACGCACGCCGGAGGTCGCGGGTTCTACTCCCGCTGCAGCTCGCCGGTAACGCTCGGCGGTGCATTAAAGTTCCCCGCGCATCAACGCGCTGCTCGCCGCTGTTCCAGCAGGCGGCGCGTCCCCTGCGGATCTGATGCAACGGGGCTGCAACTGAAGTTACACCTCGGAACTGCAACACCGTGTCCCTCCGCCGCCCGCGCTCACACGAACTAGTCCGGGTTCACACCGAGATGCTCCTACGCTCTTTTAAAAACTGTGTTTTACCGTTTTTTTCCCATTAAATTGTTTTGCTGGTTTCGCTGTGTTGCGTGAAACGCTGCCGGGCAACGTTGCGGCTGCGCGTGATGTTTTAAGCACTTTCTCCGCCTCGCGACGTCATTTTGACACTTGAAAGCGCACGTGGCATCAACGTGTGTTTGAATGCGTGTGTCGTGAATCGTCTCGGTTTATACTTACTTTAAAATACTACAAACGTGAGAACAACAAGCCGCCCTCCGGGGAGCGAGGGGAAAGTCCCGGCTTCATGACGTCACGGCCCGGCTGAACTCGGTAAAGAGAAGAAGAAGAAGAAGAAGAAGAAGAAGAAGAAGCGAAAAAGCCCCGCGGAGTGATCCCGCGCGCCCGTGATCAGGTCCCGCGCTGTGCGAGTTCCAAAAGTAGCGGATTTAAAAACTTTCTGTCCGCAAGTCTGCCGGTGGAAATAGCGCCATCGCGAAGAGAAGGGCCGGAGAGATGGCGTTTTAAAACCCGCAACCGAGCGCCTCTTTCCCGGGAAGCTCCGCAGCTTTGCTCCGCCGCGACGCGCTAGGAGACCACTCAGAAACTATGGGGTAAGTTTAACTATGGGAAAGTTCTCCCTTTAGATATTACACCAGTTTATTATTTGAGCTGTTAGTTTGCGTTAAAACGAGCTCTATTTTATCCTTTAAGGCGGCTTTAAAGTCATCATGTCAAAGGTTAAGAAGCTTTAAGAAAGGTTAATGATAGTTTCTATTTTTATTATTTATTATTTTTAATATTCTTGATGAAGTTTTAAATAACAAAAATTTTGGAAAATAACTTAGGATTACATATACATTTATATAAACATTTATATATATATGTATATATATATATATATATACATTGAGGATATATTCACACGTATGTAATATATATATACATATTATATATCAACAATATATTTTCATCATTATATATTTTATTTATTAAAATTCTCCTTTATGTTATCCAAGTAGTGTAAAGGTCTTAATGATATCTTTAGTGTTTTAACACTTTTTGTTTAAGTGACGTTTTATTGGCCTGTTATTGCTTGATAATTAGAGTGACATAAATCAACAATAGCTTCGGCTTCAGGTTCGTTACAACTTGTTCAACTTTTTGAAATTGATTTTAAAAAATGGTTTTATTTTAAGATATATATTTTAATATTTTAACCATATTTTTGTGAAAAGACTTAGCTTTAAAAGATTGAATTGTGAGGGTGGGGGATTTAAAATAAAATTAAAATGTTTTATTTTCTTAATTCCATTTTTAGGTCTTCAGGTCTTCTCACAATTCTTTCACTTAGCGAATGCACCGTTTGTGCTTTTGAACAATTTAATCGGAGAAGACGACACAATGGCGGCATCGATCCTTCGCAGGAAAATTCCTCCCATTTCCACGGCCGAGCTCGGCGCGGCCCCTCTCCGACGAGCTAGCCGCAGCCAATCACGGCCGGGGACGGGGGCGGAGCCAGCGGGGAGGCAGCGCTTAATTGGTGAGTTTCGGCGAGAAGCTTTTTTATTTTTCCACATCCCGAGGTCGGAGCCGCAGTGCAGCACGGGGGCTAATGTCGTACAGTGAGTACAGCTAAGTGGATATTTATCGAACGCAGACGATGCTGTTCAATCATTTTCAGATGATCGGTTAGTTGTTCGCTTGGATTTTACCTGGACATGTTGCTTGGTTTTATTTCATTTTTTCATTTTTTTTCTTTCTACAGTCATCCTCTTTAGCTTGTGTGATTTTACATTTTTTTTAATTTTTTTAATTTTTTTTTCAGAATATTTAGATTTTATTATTGTTATTCTACACAAACAGCTGAATGAAAGAAACGAATGGGATCGCTTTTACTGATTGCATGATTGCTTTTAAAAAAAATTTTTTAATGTTTTTTTCATAGGTGATGGTCACTCAGATTGGATGACGGAAAAAGTTGATTTGTCCTCATTTGTGTCGACGACCGAGTCCTCCCCCTGCTCATCGCTTCCCCCCTCGCCGCTGGAACAGGATGTCAAGGTGCCCTCGGATCTGGAGGTCATGACCTCTCTGCTGCAGGAGGAGCTGGCTCAGCTGGAGGACTACTTCCGCTCCGAATCCGCCTCGGCCACCAACAAGTTGGAGAAACCCTCCAAATGTGACAAGGGCGCCGTAACCATGGGAACCCAGTCGTACTACCAGTTGCCCTACGGCTCCTATGGGGCCGGCCAATCAGAGGCCGGCCCCGTGGTCGTCAGCTTGGCGACCGGCGAGCTGGACCTGGCCGGCTTCTGCGGCGGCCCCATCGGCAGGACCAAAATAGCGCGGCCGGCGCCGTACAACTACCACCACCGCTACCACCACCACCATCACCATGGCAACGTCAACAACAACAACAACAACGGCGGCGGTGGGCGGAGGATGGCCAGCGAGGCGGCGAAGGTTGGCGAGGACGCCGGGCTGGACGCCTGGGGCCCGAGGGGGAGTTACTCAGGTACCGCAGAGCTGTCGGCCAACCACTACTCTACGCTGAAGCCCGTGAGCAAGGGCGCCCTCCTCGGCGGGGGGGCCAAGAAGGCGAGGGAGTGCGCCCTGTCGCTGAAGGAGGAGGAGAGCTACTGCTTCTCCGAGGGAATGTTCTGCAGCGAGGAGATCGCGCGGGGCTTCTGCCTCGGCGGCTCCTACGACCTCCACCACAAACGGGACGCCGCCGCCAAGGTCGGCGCCGACGACGACTACGAGGGCGCCGGGCCGGAGGTGCTGCACTGCGGCAAGGACGCGGGACTTCCCGGGGGGCTCCCCCAAGAGACAATGGCCGGCGACGCCTACTTCCACCACCACCACCACCACCACCACCACCAGGCCGCGGAGCCTTACCACAGCTTTATAGGAGACCTGGACCCGCCCCCACAAGCACAGGCCGTCGAGCCCCAGCACGGCCACTACCTCTACCCAGAATGCCTTGCGGACCAAAGCTACGAATGTCTGTCCAGAGGGGAGGGCGAGGGGACACTCATGGGCGTCCCCATCCACCGACCCACCCAGAGGCTAAAGGACGAGCCCAGCGCCGGGGGCAAGGCGCCGCTGCTGATGGACGTCGGCGCGCCGCCCGAGGCCGCCACCGGCGAGAGGAAGCAGAAGAAGAGAGACCAGAACAAGACGGCGGCTCACAGGTGAGAGCGGGACGTTCATGTGTGATATTGTGCATGTTTAAAACCTCCAGAATCATTCAAACAATACAAGTTATGTCATATTGTTCTTGCTTTATATTATTAAAACTCGACATAATGATAAAGAAATACGTCTTTACTCGTTTGTGATTTAGATTTTATACTTGTCATATTTTGCATTATTAAACCTTGAAAATGATAAAAACTAAATTTGTCTTAGAGGGTTTCTCTAACTGATTATATTATTATATATATATATATATATATATATATATATATATATATATTATATAATTATTATTCAACAATTGCTTTTGGTAAATATATTTCTTAATAATTTCAATAATGATAATAAATATTTTAGCTTATCATGTCGCTTTGCATGTGTGCGTGCGTGTGTGTGCGTGTGCACGTGGGTGCGTGTGTGCGTGCGTGTGTGTGTACATGTGTGTGTGTGTGTGTGTCAGTGAGTGCATGTGTGTGCGTGTGTGCGTGCGTGTGTGTGTACATGTGTGTGTGTGTGTGTGTCAGTGAGTGCATGTGTGTGCGTGTGTGTGTGTGTGTGTGTGCATGGGCGTGTGTGTGTGTGTGCGTGTGTGTGTGTCAGTGAGTGCATGTGTGTGCGTGCGTGCGTGTGTGCGTGTGTGCATATGTGTGGGCGTGCGTGTGTGTTTGTATGTGTGTGTGTGTGTGTCAGTGAGTGCATGTGCGTGCGTGTGTGTGTGTGCATGTGTGGGTGCATGTGTGTGTGTGTGTATGCGTATGTGTGTGTGTGTGTGTGTATATGTGTGTGTGTGTGTGTGTGTCTATATGTGTGTGTGTGTGTGTGTGTGTGTGTCTATGTGTGTGTGTGTATGTGTGTGTGTGTGTGTGTGTGTGTGTGTGTGTGTGTGTGGAGGGGCGTTCACGTTTCTTCTATTTGTGATTAAATGAAACCAACAAAGAAGAATCATTTTGCAGTCTGAGCTGCAAAGGTCACGCTCGAGGTCATCGATGAAACCAACCAAACGCAGTCCCTTGCGTTGCAGGTACCGTCTGCGGAAGAGGGCGGAGCTTGACTCTCTGGAGGAGGAGCTTCACGGCCTGGAGGGGCAGAACCGGGAGCTGCGCGACAAGGCGGAGTCGGTGGAGCGGGAGATCCAGTACGTGAAGGACCTGCTGATCGAGGTGTACAAGGCGCGCAGCCAGCGGCTCAAACAGGACGGCAGTGCCTAAAAAAACTCCCAGCAAGCACCGGGAGGGACTCAAAATGGTAGTTTGCATGATTTTTGGTAGTTCTTTGTTTTCCTAAAAACACTCAAATGTTCCAAGAGGATGAAGCCGAAAAAAAACGTTAAAAAAAGCACACGTTTCCTAAAAAAAACACGCAGAAGGAGAATTCCTGTGAGTGGATTGAGAGACGCCTTCGTGGGCCGGCGACCACTGTGAAGACCGTTTACAGTGATGAAGATGCTTCTTCTGCTTCCTGTCAACGCTCAATGCAGATGTTTTGTTTTATATTTTTTACTTGATGATGTTCATTTTTCATTTTTCTTCCTCTTGAAAACAATCGACTGAATAAAAAGTGGATTACGGGAGAAAAATAAAGTATTCATCACCAGAGACATTTACAAAATGTGTATTGCTTTAAAAAAAATGTATTTACACACTTCTTTACCCCCCCCACCTCCCTCCTGTACACACACACACACACACACACACGCTGAATTACCCACAATGCATGTTTGATTTGGGGGGAAAGCATGTGCGAGTGTTATTTGAAGGCAATATTTTGTTACCTGCATGGCTTCAAGATCTCCACCTGCAGCTTCGTTTGCTTCTTCTTGCCGTGATTCCACGCTCAGGAACCCCCCCCCAGAGAAACTACAACAAATCAGTTGGGTGGGGGGGGGCTTTTATTTTCCTTCCTTTGTCTGCCCCCCCCCGGCTGTATTTTGCGACGTAAACAATCACCTGTTGACGCGACAATAAATCGTTGTTAAACAGAACGTCTTGATGGGAATTTTCTGATTTCTTTTCCTTATTTTATTGAATTTGATGTATTTGAAATTCAGGAATCAATGTCAGGAAATGATGCATCAGGTGAAATGAGAGCCAAATAAAACCAGTGTGAAGTATCGATCTCTGCCTCTGGAATGCTCTTCACTCGACGCATTAATGAATAAATAAACCCCCCGTGGATGAGACGAGAAGAAAGAGCGTTAAGCCTCCACGCCCCGCCCATCCGCTCCGCTATTGGGGGGCGGGGCTGCTCTTGATTGACACTTCACCCTGTTTCCTTTCAGACTGAAGCATCTACGATCGAGGTCCAGGGGGGCGATTAGAGGAACACTAATTGGCATATCCCCCCCCCGCGCACACACACACACACACACACACACACACACACACACACACACACACACACACACACTTCAGCCCGCAGTGGTATCAAGCTCAACAGACTACATAGAGTTCACTATCGCGTCTGCACCTCTGGAGCGTGTGTGCGTGCGTGCGTGCGTGCGTGCGTGTGTGTGTGTGTGTGTGTGTGAAATCTCTCCCCCCGCAGTCGGAGCCTTTCATGTGCATGAGGCAACAAGCACACAATCGTTGCAGCAGGACGAGTTGAACTCAGAATGAAGAATTTTAAATGTGTTGATCCGGTTGTTTTTATTGTTTATTTATTTTCGCTGTTTGTTGGTTTGTTTGACGGCTCGTGATGCCGATGCGTGAGATTTAATCACCGCGTGTTCCATAAAGTTCTTCGCTGTGACATCTGAGCAGAAAGAACATGACGCAACGCAGGACAAGTTTCATCAAACGAATTAATCGATTATGAATAAAAAGTAATCAACCAGCATGTCAAATGAAACTGGACGTGCAGTAGTTGACTCGCGGGTTCAGATCTATATTTAATATTTGTTTCCAGGGAGAATTGATCAGCTGTTAACATGAGTTGAAGGTTCCAAACTGATAAGTGGAGGTTCCAGATGTTTCTCACCAGCAGGTTGCGCTCTGAGCTCAGAGGAACACCGCAGGTATTTCTACAGTAACTAATATATATATATATATATATATATATATATATATATATATATATATATATATATATATACATACTGTATATACATATATACACATATATATATACATACATACTGTATATACATATATACACACACATATATACATACATACATATATACACATATATATACATATATACACGTGTATATACATATATACACATAAATTTATAAAAAAAGGAAACACCTCCGAGACACAAAGATCATAAAGAGACACAATATGACCTCGGAGGTTTACGTATGTTTTTAAGTATGAGATGATGGGGAGGGTTCGTCCCCAGGGGAGCATGACAGCCTGCAAATGCAAAAGCCAACCGCCCGTCCTGTGCAGTAACTGAAGGAACACAGAATCAGCAACAAAACAAGAACACAAACCAACAAACAGACAAACAAACAAATAAACAACCAACAGCTTGACCTTCAACATCCTCAGAGTTTACAGTTTTGGAGAAACAGGAAATGATGCCACACGCAGGATGTAGACCTTGAAACAACGACCTGCTAATTAAACTCTGAACGCATCCATCACCTTGTAAACAACCCCCCCCCCCCCCCCAAGGGCAAGCTGTTTTTGGATATAACTCCCACAGATGTTGTTATTCGCCCTGCTGAGTTCATTGGGGCATTGGATTGTGGGCCGTCAACAGCACCCTCAAACACAAGGGCACCCCCACGGAAGTATTGGACTATTGGACCCCCCGCCGTGTTTCCAGTGTGAATAAACACAACGAGAGGCAGGGTCACGTTGTGTGTGTAGGGGGGAGTGATGCAAGAAGTGGGGGGGGGGGGGGTCGGGTGGAGCAGGGTGACGGAAGAGCTGAATGGCCTGCAGCTCTGTTATGGCTGTTTGTGAACATTTCAATTTGTTATGAGCCTGAGGGGGGAGGAGGGGGGGTATGATTCAACACCTGTTCAATAACAGAGAGAGTCAGTGGGTGAAACACGAAGGACGGGTCTGTTAAATGATAAATAACAACCACATGTCTTACGAAACCAACTGGGTCACAGCGCCCGCCCCCCCCCTCCGCTGGGCCCTGACAGTCAGTGGTTTTACCTGTTCAGACACGGACCAAACGCGGAATGTTCCACTGTGCCGCCGATGTTCAAAGGGCCGCCACTGCATTCCACGTTAGCCGTTTCCATCCATCATCGATTTGTGTTCTTCAGGGACGGTAAACAGGAATCAACGTAAGTCACTTTCAGTTTTGGGGAGAGCTCATTTCCTCTAAGTGAACCTGTGACTGGTTATGCCACACCCCAGAGTAACCAGATAAAACACATTGACATCTCTCCGGGAACATATTAATCAGGAGATGGACTGCCTGTTTCTCCAGTCTGTGGATCCGTGACATTTGAAACAACAAACATCAGCGGTTAAGGTCCACAGGAGCGAAGCGAAGTAACTTAGCAGCCCCCGCTAAAGGGCACTCGCTAAAGGCCAACAGGTAAAGGCCAACGGCTAAAGGCCAACGGCTAACGCCAACAGGTAACGCCAACAGGTAAATGCCAACGGCTAAAGGCCAACTGGTAAAGGCCAACGGCTAAAGGCCAACAGGTAAAGTCCAGCGGCTAAAGGCCAACAGGTAAAGGCCAACAGCTAAAGGCCAACGGCTAAAGGCCAACGGGTAAAGGCCAACGGGTAAAGGCCAACGGCTAAAGGCCAACTGGTAAAGGCCAACGGCTAACGGCCAACAGGTAAAGGCCAACGGCTAAAGGCCAACGGCTAACGGCTAAAGGCCAACGGCTAAAGGCCAACAGGTAAAGGCCAACGGCTAAAGGCCAACAGGTAAAGGCCAACAGGTAAATGCCAACGGCTAAAGGCCAACAGGTAAAGGCCAACTGGTAAAGGCCAACGACTAAAGGCCAACGGCTAAAGGCCAACAGCTAAAGGCCAACAGCTAAAGGCTAACCGAAAGAGGTTCACTTCAGTTAAATTACGATGCATTCAGGCTCAACCAGGGCTGTAGTGGAGGGTAAACGCACATAAACGCCGTTTACACACCTCTGGAATTTTGGAAATAGCGTTTACGCACCTCTAAATAGCGTTTACGCAGCTCTAAGTGGCATTTACGCACCTCAAAGTTCCCTATGCCTTGTATTCTTCCGAATAATCCGAAATAAACTTGGTGTAATTTTAAAACAGCTAAGACTACGTTTCCTATTGTTGAACATATAAGCGCCGTAGTCTGAATCATTTTCATCTGCGCTTTATTACGGTCTGTGACCATCCAATCAGTGCCTTGCGGCTGCAGCAGCGACACCAATCAGGATCCAGGAGGTGTGTAAACACACACACGTTGTGGAGTAGCCTGCCTGCCTACCTGTTCGGAATGGATTAGCGCCGTAATTAGCAATGGATATCAGGCGATATTTGAAGAGACCATCGAGTGCTCCCACTCCCACAGATGCCCGCAAAAGGCCTCAAGTACAAAGTAAGACTGAAGATCAATTCACGTTTTTAAACGTTGTTTTGGTTCGCACAACGTCGCATTAAGACAGGGACAAACGCTACTAATAACGTGCTTTCAAATACGATGATGCAGGTAACAAGCCAGCCTTCCCGATCCCATCTGAATAGGCCTAATAAAATGAGTAATTATGATTAATTAATGAATTATTATATACAAAATACTAACACATTTATTCATTGTCATTGATTGTATAGGACTTTTACTGATAACATAATGCAATATAGCCAGGACAGCCTTACAGTCGCATCGCGTCGAGGTCTGTATGATCACAAAATTCAGAGTTTTCGCACATGTAATTTTACCACTACAGCACTGGGCTCAACAAACATAAGAACATTAAAGCAGGATGAGTTGAATCTGTAAAATGTAGTTTTTGGTAATAACCAATGTTTTCCTAGTTTATGAAATATATATTAGAGGTGAATTATTATGTTTAACTTTCAGCACATTATACGTTCTTGAAAAAATAAATTTAATTCATAGCAATGCAATCTTTTTTTTCCTAATAACTTGAATATTGTTTTTGTGTCTAGCAGGAGACAACGTCTGAAAATCCTCCTAGAGATCATTTACTACATGTTGAAAGCAATAAATAAAAAAGTCCCCTGAAACCCAGAAGTTTATTGTTCTCCTTACAATGAAAAAATAAAAACACAAACAGAACTGTGACGACAAACACCCAAAACCATTAGTTTAACATCATTTTCTGTAATATTCCAAAACCTAAAAGGAAGAATATTTTCCTTTGTTTAGGAAACAGTGACGATGACTTCCTATTGGACTAAAATAATAAACCTGCAGCTCTCGATTCGTATTCAGAAACTGTCCGCTTAGCCTTTCACAATCATCAAAATACAAAAGAATACGTAACAGAGTAGGGACAATTTCTCACATTTTAATCCTTTGAAAATAGAAAATACTTGAATACAAAACAGGAACCAGAATCCCAAACCGGTGTGTTCATACTAAACAACTTTAAAACCCCTTTTCCACTAAAAAGATACATAAACCAGGAGATAAAACACGCACACATGTACATTATTAATTGCACTTTCAGTTGATATAATCCCCAACATACAGTAAACACAATTATGTCTGATTTGTGTGTGTGTGTACACACACACACACACACACATATTTATATACTCATATACATGTATATGTGTATTTATATCCAAAACTCTGATTAAAAACCACGGCATAGAACTTTGTTCCCAATGAATCCATTTTCTGTCCGTCTTCTCAAAGTGAATACTAGCATCTTTGAATCCACGGCTGAATTGATCGTTTGACTTCAGGCACAGCGACTCATTTTTATCGGACACCTATAAATATGTATATTTATTAGTGCTGGGCACGTTATCGTGATTATTTAAGCATCTATTATTTAACATATTTTATTGCGTGTTAACACAGATTTTAAAAATGAGTCTCTTGAACGTCTGTTGCACCATGGGTCAGGAAGGATTGGCCTGGGAGGCGCATCATCACGCATCTCAACCAATGAGGGCGTTTGGGGGCGGGCCTAAGACTGGTGCATAGTTCAGGTCTCAACGGTCTCATATCTTAATGGTAAAAACTGCTGTATTTAAATGGTTTGCATGAATTAAAGTGTGCAATACACAACTTTAGAATCAATTATTCAATTTGCACAAATGATAAACATTTGGTAACGTAGGATGCAAAGAGGGAACCATGTGGACCACGTGGGGATTGATGACCGCTCACTGGAAGTATTTTATTTGATTACTTTTGGGGTTGATGTTAACTCTCATCTTGGCGCTCCACTCAGCGACTGTCTTAGGCCAGTTAGCCTAGCTTAGCACAAAGACAGACCACATGGTTCAGACTGTCAAAAGGAAACAAGGACTGTTGTTTGCTAACGCAACTAGCGCTTGTTGGTTGATAACTTTGACGCCCAAGCTAGCTGCTCGTCACAATGTTTTGTCGTCTACTTCTGCACACTTTGAATGCAGATAAACATTATTTCTGCTCTAATTATTGAGCTTAGCGAAGGAACACAAACATATTAAAGTGATGCTCTCCGACAACAAATACCCCTTAAATAATACAAGGGGTAAAAAAAGAAAGGTTCCACGTGAAGTCAATCAAAAACCTCAACAATGTGCCGAGAGATAAACCAGAGCTCCTTGCGCATTAAAGGCTAAACACACGGAAAATTAAACTGCATTACCTCCCCAACGCCATACGATACGACAATACGCTATGTCCTCTAGTACCAAGTACTTTATATCAAGAACCCCAGCAGGAAGGAAAAAGTCTTAAAATCATAATCATCTTTTCTTTGTTATTGGAATGAGAGACTAAACAGCGGTGAACATAAAACTGTAGTGACATTATATATATATATATATATATTATATATGTGTGTGTATACACATGGCTTTTAACATTTTTGCCCGGGGAGTAATTAGGGGTCAGGTGTCTTGCTCAGGGACACTTCGACATGGGACATGGGGCAGCCGGGACTCAAAACGCTAACCTTGCGGTTCCCAGCACACCCGCTCTACCCCTGCGCCACAACACATGGATACATAGACAACATGTTACCAGACTGAAACAAACTAAGGAGGTTTCACAGAAACCAACCAATGTGCATCTACGGCCTCTGTGCGGGTAATTTACCCCGAACAAAAACCCAGATGCTTTACTTAAAACAGGTCACAACTCGAGCTCGGAAGAATTCGATCCTGAACCAACTCAGAACATTACTGTCGGGTCTCCAAGAAGCCGGGGTGGTCAACCGAATCTGGGTTGCATACTCTGGCTCCCCTAAAAGAGAGAGGAACACGTGTCAAGGTTTATGAAAACAAACATTATACTCACGGCATTTTCATAAAGATCACACATATCTCGTGACGAGACGTTGTGTTGGGCAAACGCAGCAGCTTGACTTGCAGCAACAAGTCGTCATCAGGACGTCTCGCTCTGCTTCCGATCGTTTCACCAGAGGAGACGTTTGAGTCTGGAGGCCACGCCGCAGGTTTCGCAATGACAGAGTACTTTTAAAAGTAAACCAGTCAAGCTGAGCGGAAAAAGGGCCTTCGAGTCTATTCTTCTTCATTATGTGAATTCCTCTGCGAGACACTCACTCAACAACAGCCACGAAGGCAAAACTGCTGAACTACAAACACGGAAACAAGGAACGTCTCCCGGCTACGACCGAGGAGCAGTGAGAAAAAACTCCAGAACAAGAAGTTGGAGGATGCTCAGCAAACCTGGAGCTTTTTTTTGACAAGACCTAATTCAATTTAATTGTCTACAAAACGAAGTTTTGAATGTAGCTCGGACCCTCGATGACGATCTCTATTGAAAGGGCATTAAAGCATTAATTAAATAAATCAGACAGTTCCTAAGCAGTGTCGCACCATGGTGTGAAGGTAGCTGCTCATCTGCAGCAGACACTCCATGGTCTCCATCATCTGCTCCTGGCGGAGCGCGTGCAGACTGCTCGGATGTGAGAACTTACTGCTCTCCAGCTTACTTACGGCGGCTCTGAGAGCCACAGAAGCACACTGGAAGACACTCACTCCTGAGAAAACACACACACAGGACCCATTTTTAGACAGCTACAAAGGAGAATATCAGTTGGTGGTTGCTAGTATTTCCCACGCTGTATGAAGCGCTTCCCCCTCTTCTCTTCAAAGACCAACACACACCAACGCAGTCATTTGAGCTGAAAGAACGGCTCAGTTTGTTGGTGTGACGCGTCTGAGCCGAGTTTACAAAGACCACAGTCGAGGAAGTAGAAGGCCTGCAGCTCTCCTCCTCCGGGGGCTTCAAGGAGAACATCCATAACGGACTGAAGTGGCCTTCAGGGGTTAAAAGTCAGCAAGGTGAAGAAGTGGAAATATTCCAAATATCCCACTTCAACTGACCAGCTGTCTAAAACATTCCCCGGTTCCCACCAATACATTGATTTAGAAATTCCATTTTTCAGTGCTGACGTTTCAGCCATATTCAGAGATTTCCAAAGGTGATCGTACTTACCAGAGTGATCGGCGGCTTCAACGTCGACATACACACCATCCAGCATCGCGTTTTTCAGAACCTAAACAACACGAACCACAGCTTGGGAACGGTTCAGGTTTACAGTTCTCCCGCTGAACAAATCCTGAGTCCTTAAGGCCGACTAAATGGGTTCTTGGAGAGGAATATCAATATATATATATATATATATATATATATTATTGTATAATAGTTTAGCTTATGATTTATTGGGAGAAACCAAACTACTTGCTGTAGAATTGGTCACTTGGCGGCAGCATAAAGCTCAAATGGCAACAGAAATTAGAATCCTGGTTTGATGAGATCAAGTGCGTTTGAGGACGATGCCAAAGACTTCATTTAGCATCAATACTGGAGGTGCACGGAGGCTGCAGGCAACTTAACCGATTGTTGGTTTGGTCTATAAAAACAATTATTTCAACAGACAGCTTAAAAAATACTCACATTGACCAAGAGAATCAAAAAGATATTCAGTAAAACAAGTAGATCTTCACACCAGAGAAGCGGAAAAGGTTGAAAGGAAATGGTTAAAGAAACAACAATGTGAGGGCACTCCTTCAGAGTGAAGCAGAATGACCGGTTGCCCAACGCGGCACATAAATTTCAAAAGAGAAGCAAGTGTCTACGCTGGAATTTGGCACTGCAGTTTAAACACGACTCCAACGCGTAACACACGTAATAACTCGTCAGTCCGGATGGATGGAAGCCATCGCCATCGGCCCAACGCATTCTGAGACACAGGTGACTCACGAGAACAGCGCGTCCCGATGAGATTTTAGATCCACAGGGGTTTGGCGGAAAGGTCAGAGGTCGGCTCCAACAACCAACCCTTTTAGATGTTCACTTTCATCCATTTCATGGAGCATACAAGTTATTAGCACAGTGATTAGGTCACTAGGATGAAGGAAAAAGCTTCACGTCCTCTGAAATACCACGTGACCAAATAAACAAAGAGCCCCTAACCTCCAGGACTCTGACGTAGCCCTTCTCGGCACTGAGGTGGAGGCAGGTCTTTCCCGAATTGTCCGTCTCGTTGACGTTGGCCCCCAGGAGGATCAGATCCGCCACCATCAGGTGGTGGTTGTGCTGCGCTGCGTGGAGGAGGGCGGTCTGCCAACAGGACATATCGCCGTTAAATGAAGGATCGTTCTACTGGTGACATAACACGCAGAATGTGGTATAAGCCTCACGAATTTGAGGCAGCAATGAAACGGTTTACCCCCCCCAAAATGGTTGACTTAAAGAAGGTAAACTCCATAGTGTGATTATTGTTACGCTGGTGGCCGGCCCGATGGCTGATTGGCCAATCGTCAAGTCCCCTGTGGCGCTCATTGGCTCAATTACTTTTCAATTGAGACCAATCAGTGGACTCAAGCAATTAGCGCAGAGGAGTTGTTGCTCGAGTCCTTGAAGGCCATAGAGATCAGGAGATGGGATATCTGGAAAACACACGAGCGACGTTGGTTACCATTCCGTCGGAGTCCTTGAGGTCCAGGCTGTTGAGGGCGGCCATTCTTTTTGCAATGGCGTAACCCAGCGCCCTCTTTCCAACACGCGCCACATTGTGGAGAGCTCTGCAGGAGACGAGAGCCACACGTTAAGACCCATGATGGTGCAGTTGTTCAGGAAGTACGACTTTAATGCAACCGACAAGTCATCGACTCGCCGAGTGAAAGCTTATAACGATTACGACGTAAACCGCCCCCCCCCCCCTGACATCGTCTGCTCAGACCGGCCTGGACAGAAGTCTGACACCAAGTCGAACCCGAGCTGAAGAAGCTTGTCTGTCTGATACATCAAGAGGTCTCCATTGAGCCGCAAGTAGAATCAGCAGCAAGAACAAACGCTAGCTACTACGCTAGTTTTACCATACGCTAGTTTTACGATACGCTAGATAACGGCATCAAACTCACGCCCTGCCGTTGTGGTCGGGCGCCAGCAGCTCGCCGTCGGAGGCTTCCCCGAGCCGGCTCTCCACCCAATGAAGCTGAGCCCAGAAGAAAGAGACGTTCTGGTCCAGGTCTTGGTCCTGGCCGTCGGCCCACCCACCCCCTCTGGCGCCAACGGGCTGGAAGGGGGGCGGGGGCTCCCACGGGTACTCGGGCGAGGACTCGGGGCTGGTGATCACCCCGTTGGACTCGTCGGTGTAGTACTCTGAACCTGAGAGGGAAGACACGGCATTTAGAAAGTATTATTTGTATTATTAGATATTTGTAATCTTAAGATTGTGTTTAATGTTCAGTCTTAAGATTATTGGTTATAAATGAATAAGTATTTGCTTTTATTTTTTAGAAACAAAAACACACAACGATTGGTAGCTGTTAGCTACATTTTACAGGATCAACCCGACATGATAACGTCATCATGTACCATCGCGTAGCGCCTTGTGGAGTGAACGGAGATCCAACGCACTACAATGGAACCTTCGTGCCTGAGAGCAGTGGGTCGTGACGTTCAGAACCGCGGCTACCGGTCAGACCGGTTAACCCCCCCGGCTACCCGGCGAAAGCCTCAATGTTCTCGGTTGAATTTTGCTTTTAAGCGAGACTATTGCTGATTATCTGGCCAGCTGCGACTCACCGGTCGAAGACCACCCTGGAGAGAACGGAGCCCCCTGCGGGTTGCGGGTCGGCGGGTACTGGGCGGAGGAGCGGCAGGCGGCGCCGGTCCATAGGTCCTCCTCCAGCACCTCCAGGATCATTGCCAACTCCTCCAGGCTCTTCGCGGAGCATTTTCTCTGCATGAGGAGAAGAGGGCGAAGGAATGCGTCAGTCGGCTGGAGCCGGCCGCGTGATTTATGGCGCTCGCTGTTTGCGCTCCCAAAAACACTCACGTTGCAGCGCCGCCGTACCGCACGCATCGGGACTTTTGGTCCGTCTCCTACGGAGGTAAAAGAGTTCGACAATCAGATAAATGAGTAAAAAACGCAAAAGTGAAATGTTCTTTCTGGGATGATTTTATTGTAAAACAGGAAGATGTTTCTCTTCTGGAATCCTAGCTTCCTTTTTCCTTCACTACTGATTTATTCTCTTATTCAACTGTTGCTCAGAGGATATTTGTCGATAGTTGATCAGCATTTTATTTTCCATCTCATGAACTAATTAAAGTTCCTTCTTACAAAATAAGGGCATCCGACATACAGGGCAGTGCTGTCACTCATCTGACTGATGAATCAGAGGCAGTTAAGCTGACCGACAAGGAGGACATCACACCTATCGGACGTCTGGCTTTCACTCACCTTTAACCGACCCGCCGCTGATCCTCTGAGAAGGACAGAAACAAAAAAACACATGATTTCAATGAATCAAATTAAGATGCTCGATACATATAATTGTAGCACTTAAATTGTACTTGTAACGTCACCCATCTACAGCAAATTGTAAATTGGCTTATTTGAGGAAATTGCACTTTCTTGTTTCTTGTTCTCCTGAGTTTGTGTCCTATGGTTGAATGAACTTATTGCTTTGGATAAAAGCGTCCGCTAAATGACATGTAATGTAATGTAATGTAATATAAAGATTGTGTACAATCACACGTTTCAGTCAACCTAAAAAACCCGAAGCAGTCGTTTTGCTGATTTGTACCAGGAAGCATTCTCGTATTTCAGAAGCCAGTGACAATGATGAATGGAAAATGAGCCGTAGTCCTACAGCGCTTTTCTATAATAATAATAATAATACTTTAAATTTTAAATAGCACTTTTCTATAATAATAATAATAATACTTTAAATTTTAAATAGCGCTTTTCTAAGTACTAAGGACTCTTTGCACAGGACAAAGGCAAACAGAAGAAAAAAAGAAAAGGAGAAAGACGTAGAGGCAAACAAAACCACTGGAAAATAAAACAGCTGCTACGATCAAACAAATTCCTCGGGCAAAATTGTCCGTCAACAATCTACAATTAAAATACACATGAGCTGATGTGAGATTATCTTGCTTTTCTGAATCCGATCAGTACGCTTTTTTGGATCCGTCAGGGTTGGATTCACGTTTAGTCAATGATGAAAAAACACCACCACTACCTGGGAGTCCCAGCCTTGGTCCACGCGGACCCTCTTCAGCAGATCCCTCACGGGCCTCTTGACCCGGACCCCCATGTAGGCCTTCACGGGACCTGCAGAGCAAAGCAACACTTCTGACACCACCGCCGATGGACACGTCGAGTCCTTCTTTTCAATAAAGAAGCTCAAAGTCACTCAAAGTTTAATCAAAGTCACGTTTGATGTCACACGTTTTTATTCATTTCTGCTAAACGAAAACCTGATATTTTAAATAAAACAACTCATGTGTCAATATCTGCAGAAAGGTCAGTAGGTTTGTTGAGGTGCACAACACAATTTGCATAAAAACCCATAATTTAAATAACATAAAAGATGTGTGTGTGTTGATAAAACATCTCGTCATTATTTTTAAACAGATTATAAATCTTCTCTAATAATCAACAGAAAAGTTATTTTAGGGGACCAGCAATTGGCCCTTTGTTATAATCAGATTAAGATCAGAGATAAACATTAATATTAATTGAAGATGGTCAACTGGCTTAAAATAACTTTAATAATTAGCAGGACATCAAATCACCGACTGGAGGAAAACTAAAAGATGTTTTTATACTTCTTCTAAATATTAGAAAAATTTAAATTGTGACTATTACTTGCTAAAAAATGGTTTTAAGCTTTATTTAAACATTATATTTAAGTACTGTGCTTGAATAGAACTTTGAGGTGCATGTAGTGGAGTATTTCCATTTGCACCAACTTTATTCATTATCAAATCTAAATACGTAAGATAGCGAGAGAACCAATAAAATTAAAATAACACAAGTATAATAAAGTCAACCAGTAAAGGTTTAATAAATAAGTAAATTACAGGGAAAAAAAGAGCCACAAATATAATACACATTATTGGACATATGAGCCAGGAAGTGTTTGTATGGTATTTAAATAGCATACGTGTTAAATGTGATAACAAGTAATACATCTTTAAAGTTAACGTAGTAGAAATAGTCTAAAGTCTTCCTACCTGTTGGACCACCGTCCTCCCGGCGGAGCCTCGGTGCCTCGGCCGGTCCCGGCTCGCTGTCCCCGGCCGGAGGAGAGCGTCCATCCCGTCCCTTACTCTGCTCCCGTTGTTTACCTCGTCCTCTCATTTTTAGGACCCACTTGTTACCGAAAAAGAAAAGTGTTTAGTTAAAGACTAAACAACAACATTAGACAAACCGTGACTTGTTTGTAACATTTAAACGTGTTAAATACTGACCGAGCTCTCGCTGCGAACGTTTCAGGACGGAGCTGAGCTAAGCTAAGCTAAGCTACTAGCCCGGTGAGCCCACAACACCTGTGTGAGGAGCACAGCACACCTGACGGACTGCACCACCTGAGAAGACGGCCACGCCCCCCGCGGGAGCGGGGCTCGTGCTCACGGAATTCTTCTTCTTCTACAGAAGAACCGCGTATACCACGTGCACGCTGAAGGTACAAATACAGTTCGACAAAAAAGAGATTGAAATCAAAATAATTCAAACGACATAAAGGTGCACACACAATAAATGAATACGTTCCAAAGCCTCCGCTCCTCTAATGCTCCTCATCCACCCAAAGTGGACCTTTGGTTTGAAACGGCTCTGAATTTAAGTCCAGAAGGATCCAAGCAGTTGAAAAAGGAAAATAAATTATATAATATATATATAATAATGAAAAATATATTTTCTAGAAACGAACGAATACTAATGATATATTAATGATACTAACAATTATGATTTTGAACATGATTTATATAAATATTGTATATTGATATATCTCTTTTTTTCCCTTCTATCTCTCGTATGATGAAAGGATTTGCAATAAAGTATAAAAATGAAGCTCGCTGAGCTTCGCCTGCAGGACACTCTGCCCGTGGCGGTTTTTTACACCAAAAATAATAAATAGAATAAAATAAATCCTCAACGAGGCACAACAAACCAAATAATGACAAAGAAATAAAACCTGTTTAATCTCTTTATCTTTTTGCGTCAGATTCTCACAGAGCTCCAGTTTACAGTTTTTCTCCATTGCTTAAGCACAATTTCAATGCTTTTGTTTGGTTTTTTATTAAAACAGAACACACAAATAACACACCCACAAACTCAATTCCCAAAACACCTCAGATCCTCTGCGAAATGAAACACTCTTGTTCAGCTTCTTTCCGGGAGGTTGTTTTGTGCTTTCTCCCCTAACAGGTCTCTGTAGATCGTAGTTCCTTCTGGACCCTGGTCCTGACGCCTGCTGCTGCCATCATCATCATCACCATCCTCATTATCATCATCATCATCATCATCATTATTACTGTCATCATAAACCAACATTACCCTTTCCTAACGTATTTGTGCTCTCCCTCCCCACAGGCTTGTGTGGGTGGTGGTTCTATCTGATGGCTCCACTAGGAGCACAATGTCTGCTCACATTTTTTGCAAAACCATACACAGGAATCAGGAAACATTTATTGCCAAAATATGTCAAACATGGAGTTTGGAAACAAGGAATTTGTCTTGGCGGTTGGTGCGTGACAGTAGACAACAAGACAGCAGTGCACAAGTAATACAATTAAGTAAAATAAAATGCTAATGCAATGGGTTAGTAGAATAAGGATATGGGTTAGTGTAACACAAGAGAATAAAGTTAGAGATAAAAATTAAAAATATTTTAAAAGTTTAAAAATATTAAGCATAAAGTGCACTAACGAACAAGTAACAAAGTGACGAGTGAGAAATGACAGTAAAGTGGCATGTGCAGTATGAAGGGAGTGACCGGTGGAATGTTGTAGTCAGTGGGGGACCGGCTCTGTTCATGAGCCCGACTGCCGACGGGAAGAAACTGTTGGTGTGGCGGGACGTCGTAGTCCTGATGGACCTCAGCCTCCTGCCAGATGGAACGAACACAAACAGGTTTTGTTCGGGGTGAGAGGGGTCGGCCACCATCTTTTTAGCTGCTTCAGTGATTTGTAAAACACTAAAGACACTTGTATATATTATAGACACCACACAAGTTGATTTCTGGAATTAGTCAACATGGAGATTCACAACAACAAACAAAAAGTACAAAAAAAATAGTAAAAAAATCTTAATCTAAAGAAAGGCAAGGCAAGGCAATTTTATTTGCATAGCGCTTTTCATACACAAGGCAGACTCAAAGTGCTTCACATTATAACATTTCATACAATAAAGTGAAATAAAATGCAGGAATTAAAAGACAATTAAAAACAGCAAATACAATTATAAATTAAAATGTTATTTAAATTGTTTAATTAAAGGCAGAGGTTAAAGTGCAATGTAGGTAAAATTTAGCAGAAGGCGAAGCTGAACATGAAAGTTGTCAGTCTCGTTTTAAACGTGGTCAGAGTTGGGGCAAGTCTTAAATCTTCAGGAAGTTTATTCCCAGCTGTTTGTTGCGTAGTAACTAAATGATGCTTTCCCATGATTTGTATTTACTCTGGGAGTCGCTAACAGATTTAGTTCTGAACAAGCTGGAGCTGCCTGACAGTTTCTTTTGGACGACCTGCAGGGAGACCATTACAATAGTCCAGCCTACTAGTTATAAAGGCAAGTACAAGTGTTTCTAAGTCTTGAGCTGACATGAGCCCTCTAAATCGTGCTACATTTTTGAGGTGGTAGTAGGCCGATTTTGTTACTGATTTGATGTGACTCTCCAAGTGTAAATCTGAATCCATAATAACCCCCAGATTTCTGGCTTTATTTGATGTTTTCAGGGACAGAGAGTGAAGGTGTTGGGTTACTTTAAACCTTTCTCTTTTAGCACCAAATACAATAATCTCAGTTTTGTCTTCATTTAGTTGTAGGAAATTTTAACACATGCAGTCTTTGATTTGCTCAATGCACTGGCACAGAAGATCTATGGGGCGATAGTCGTTTGGTGATAGCGCTACATAGATTTGGGTGTCATCAGCGTAGCAATGGTGGTCACTTTTATTTCTTTGCATGATTTGTCCTAGTGGGAGCATGTAGATGTTGAATAAAGTCGGCCCTGAGATCGAACCTTGGGGGACTCCACACGTTACGTCGGTTGTTTCTGATACAAAGTCACCAATGGAAACAAAATAGTTCCTGTCTTGTAGATATGACCTGAACCAGCTTAAGACTGTGCCTGAGAGCCCCACCCAGTTTTCCAACCTGTCCAAAAGTATTGAGTGGTCGACAGTATCAAATGCAGCACTGAGGTCTAATAGCATTAATATTGAAGTTTTGCCAGAGTCTGTGTTAAGACGGATGTCATTTACTACTTTAATAAGGGCCGTCTCGGTGCTATGAAGAGGTCGAATTCCTGACTGGAAGTTGTCGTGGCAGCCAGTTGAAGCCAGGAAGTGATTAAGTTGTTGTAGGACAACTTTCTCAATTATTTTACTTATGAAAGGCAGATTTGACATTGGTCTGTAGTTGTTGATAATAGAGGCATCTAGGCTCCTCTTTTTTAGGAGAGGTTTAATAACTGCAGTTTTGATAGCTTTTGGGAAATGGCCTGTCTGAATAGAGTTATTAACTATTTGCAATACGTCTGTTGCTAGACAGCCAAAAACATTCTTAAAGAAGTTGGTACTCATTGCATTTCTGTGTGGAATGGAGTTCAGGTGGTATTTGTGTCGGGGGGTTGGTCAGTCGGTCAACAGTTTCAAACAGGGTTTTTGCCTTTAGTGTTGTTGTTAATGATGTTGGAGAAGAATGTTTCCCTAGCAAGTTTAAGTCTAAATTGTAGGCCCGGAGGCGCTCTTTATAGATGTCATGGTGAATATGAAGTTTTGTATTCCGCCAGAAATAAACGTTGTCTCTTAATGTAGCTCGATCTGGCCTCCTCCTCCTCCTCCTCCTCCTCTGGGATTCCTCCTCCTCCTCACCCTTCCGTCCATTTTGGTTGAGGACAGGTGAACTCACCTGCTGCATCTCATGGTGCTTAAACCGGATTGGTGTGTCTACAGTTAAGCACTCTTGGGTTTGTCAGGAAGAAAACAGTGCACAAGTAATAAAATAAAATATAATGCTATGGGTTACTTTAAAATAAAATAATATAAATTCAAGTTAAAAAATATTTAAAAGGAAAGAATGAACTGCACCAGTCAACAGGAAGTGACAAAAGTGACGAGTGAAAGTGACGTGTGCAGTGAGGAGGAAAGTGACGTGTGCAGTGAGGAGGAAAGTGACCGGTGGGATGTCAGAGTCAGTCAGCGGGGGGTCCGGGCCCGTCTGCCGACGGGAAGGAACTGTTGGTGTGGCGGGGGGTCTTGGTCCTGATGGACCTCAGCCTCCTGCCAGATGGAAACGAAGCGCACCGAAGCACCGTGGCGCCATCTTGAGAAAAAGTGTGCACCTGCAGGTCGTGTTTAACCCATTGGCTCATGGGTTTGGTCATTTGATTATCAGTGCTTTGGAATTGCAAGGAAGTGACTTCTTGATGTACTTCTGTGTGTGATGCCCAGACGTGTGTGCACTATGCCTAAGAAATAAAATACCTGACAAAACATTATTTAAGTTGCTTCATTATTACACAGGTCAGTTTAGCTTTACCAAAACGAGAAAATACAGCACAGTAAGCAATAACACACAGCACAATAGCACAGTAAACACCACAGTACCAGTAATACTTATTCCACTATCCATAAGTCACAAGAACATTTTTTAATTTTTACACCGGGAGTTTTAACTAACGTTAGCTCGTCAGCTACGTGCTAACGCCGTGTATAGTGTTAGCTAGCTAGTTAGCCACGTGCTAACGCCATGTATAGTGTTAGCTAGCTAGTTAGCCACGTGCTAACGCCATGTATAGTGTTAGCTAGCTAGTCAGCTACGTGCTAACGCCGTGTATAGTGTTAGCTAGCTAGTTAGCCACGTGCTAACGCCATGTATAGTGTTATCTAGCTAGTTAGCTACGATGCTAACGCCGTGTATAGTGTTAGCTAGCTAGTTAGCCACGTGCTAACGCCGTATATAGTTTTAGCTAGGTAGTTAGCTACGCGCTAAGGCCGTATATACGCTTTTCAGAATGTAAACGTCGACTGGAACACTGCCGCCGTCTGCTCCCACCTCACTCGCCTCCCTCCCTAACGGCGAGCCCCCTCCCCCCAGCGCCAACCCTAGCCGAACGATTAATTGCCCACAAAAGCAAACACTTTCTCTGGGGGCTAATATTTTCGCCCAGTCATCTTTAAAAATCGGAATGACTTACCTTAACGTTACCAAAATGCCGTGGGTGTGATATTTTTCACAACGTCTTCTGCAGTGGAAGATTGAGGTGGAAATAAGTTTCCGCCAGAACTTTTAAAGAATGCGCATGCGCGAATCACTCAATCTAATAAAAATGCTTTGATTAAAATAAAAAAAATCAGTTTGGTGCCTTGCTGTCAGTTTACATTGTAGTAAAGTAAAAAATTCGATTAAACCCTAACCCATAAATAAAAAAGTTTAGTTTAATAGAGCAAAGTATTTTTTTTTTTTCATTGGAATGAAAAAACACATATTAAATGAACAACAGCTTACGCTTTTTTCAGTGTGTGTATTGTTTTGCATTAGTGGTGCAAATCTGGGCCGAGTTTCGCTCCTCGAGTGCACGGTTTGGATAATTGTGTGATTTTAAGCTACATTCAA